AGAGAGAGACAGAGAGAGACAGAGACAGAGAGACAGAGAGACAGAAAGAATGAGTAATAAAAAAAAAGGCCATAAATTTGAAAGAGAATAAGAAAGGATGTATGGTAGAGTTTGGAGGAAAGGGAAAGAAGAAATAATGTGTTTGCATAATTTCAAAACATAAAAGTAATATTTTATAACATTTTAAAAATCCATTCAGCATTGTATAGCCTTTACAGATTTAACTATATTTTTACCTAAAATTATATTGTTATCCTATTTTCAACCAAAGAAACTCTGAAGTTGAACAGGTACCCTAATTCCCATCAAACTTTATTTTGAAATGAACTACCTACAAATTTAGATAATTCTTCAAAGGTAGAATATGACAATGAAAAAGAACTATAAAAGAGATAGAAACTTAAACAACATGATTTATAATGCATCCTCAATCTTCCTGTTTTAACCACACCAAGGTTATTTTTTAAATAAGGTTCAGGAGACAGAGACAAACAGAGGGAAAGAGGGAGGGAGAGAGAGAGAGAGAGAGAGAGAGAGAGAGAGAGAGAGAGAGAGAACAATGATTTAGAAAAAATAAGTGTAAAGAAATGGCTACAATGTTACTGAAAAAAAAAACAGAAAAAATTAGGAGAGAAACTGTGCTCCTAATTAATTATGACTAACTAGAGAATAATAATTTCACATAAAGTAAAGGAATAAAAGAAAGTTGGTTACTTCGACTTTCAAAACTATGTAGTTGTCTCCATGATCATAGACTCAGAACTCTATGATTATTGCTTAGATACTTGTGGAAATGCTCAACTAGCTGGGCTTCACAACACTGAGAGTAACACCTCAGAAAATTACTCTGGAATCTTTGAAACTCAAAATAACTTTTCTCTGCAGTGAATTTATTCAAAAAAAGGAGTTGTTGAATTCAAAGCGTCTATCACTACCAATGTAAACTCTGTTATTCAAGAAACTCTACAATATCAGGATGAATGCACTTCTATATTTTTACTCATTCTCATGTCTTATTGCCCTACTACCCCATAGGAAAAAGCTTGCTATAGCAGATAGCAATTAAAATATATAAAATGAGATAAATCTCATAGACAAGAACCTGAAAAAATACCTACACCATGTATACATCTCCCCCCTGGAAATATAAAGAACAAAATGCAGAAATCAAGTTACTTAAAATATCAAAGAATAAAGAGAACCATAGTGATTAATATTTATTTGACACTTTGTATAGATGAAGTTCTTGAAGCTGGGACTGACAGCATTCTTGACAGAGGGAGACTCTGGAAAGCTATTGAACTAGCTTGTCTGCTTACAGCTTCATTTGTGTTTTCAGATGTAGGCTGGATTTGGGACTCTTGTTGACTTTCTTCCCTAGGACGAAGCAGCAAGCAAAGACAACATAATAAAATAAACAAAACAACAAGCAGAAATAGACACAGGTAACAATACTTTTTCTTCCTCTGTATCTTGGTAGGTGGTCCATTGTCTACACTACCTCCATTGCCTTTTGTCATGCAGTTAGGAGGCTCCCACAAATAGTTGCAGTGGCAGTGATGTTTATTGTTGCAGATGCCCCTCTTATGACAGAATGTAGGTGAACAATTGCTATCCAATGCAGATAAATGTACACAATGCTTTTGAATGCAGATATGATCTTGACCACACTCTGTGCCATCTTTCACATCACCAAAGTCATCTAGGCGTCCCAAGGTGGTAATCGGTGCCCCAGCAAAACAAGCCTTTGACAACAGCAAAGTGCACAGTACTGTGTGCTTCCATACGGGGAATTTCTGATACATTATCACATTGAAGTCTTCCACAAAAAGCATCATTGTTTTCACATTTTATGTACCCAGGTCCCTGAAGACCACAGTGGCCAAAACGATCACCTTTATAGTGTACTTCTTTGTAGCAATTTTTATTTGCAGCTTTTGATTTCTGGCCAAAGATCTTCCTACAGTATTCATTACGGCCATTGCATCACTTTTCGTAGCAAAAGGCTGAGATATTACAGGGAATTCCATCTTCAACATATACATCATCTGGACACTTATGGGATGTTCCATTGCACCATTCAGGAAGATCACATATGTTATCCTGTTTTCTACACACCTCCCCTGATGGCAAAAATTGGCAGTTTTTACAACAAATTCCAAAGGCACAGGAAGACCCCAAACTCAGAGTGCAGTTTGGCATACAGCATAGATCTTTTGCAAAATGGTGTAAGGATCCACAGTCACACTGCTCGTCATCTTCAACAATACCATTTCCACAGTGACTCAGATTAAAGATACTCTTTGTGTACATGTTTTCAAGCAAACAGGTTGTCTGCTTTACAGTATAAGTCCAAAAATAATTATAACTACAATTGCTAAATTTGGGTATTGGTGGGTTAGTAGCGTCCGTTGTGCATTTTTTGTGTCTACACTTACATGTCTTTTCATCATCTTCCATGCCCAAGTTATGACCTAAGTGATGAGCCACTCCAAGGGCACGGAGGTTTAAAGTTCTGTTTATGAAAGTAACAATTGCACAACTGCGGCTTGGATCACACACCCCACTTGTTGAACCTATGCCACTTAATCCTCTCAAGTGCTTGTATATGAAAAGATGAGTGGTGTCATGTTTTAATCGATGAATAATGTTTTTAATTTTCCACCAGCAATATAGCTGAAGAGATTTTCTTACATCATCTATTACAATAGGGTTTTTCTTATTCCAAACCTCCAAACCAACCAATAATATTTTAACACCAATTACATCATAAATGGCATCTACCATACTTATCACAAAATATAGATCTGGCATCATTACTGTGTCATTACTCTGATAGTGTTCATACAGAGTCTTATCCACCACCCTTACTATTTCTACAATTCTAACATGGGTCCACCAGCCTTCAAAACCACTTTGCTTGAGAGCGGAATTACCAGTTTTTTGTAACTCTACTTGGCATGTTATCTTGCATAAGGCTGGAAATACTTGATTCTGTTTTATTACTATCCATTTTATATACCAGATGTTCAAATTTGGTAGAAAATTTCTTTGGCATGATTTCATAAACAGTATTATCTATCTCTAATAATCCTTGAAAGCCCCCAAGACAAGTGTTGAGCGAAACTAAGGATTCTGAGTCACCCTCCACATAATCATGATAGTAGCAGTCATCCTGTACAAAAGGGTAATCTTCAAGCAGAGAACCCTGGTCAGAGTAGGTGAACATTGGGAGGTTCCTGGTTAGAAAAAGATTCTGGCTCTTCATGTGGATAACATGTCTCTGGCCTCCAAGTTTCAAGCTGTAAGAGACCCAGTCTGGAGGTTTCATGCCACTGGTTTTCCCAGTTAGCTTCAAGTGAATCACCACTTCTGTGGGACTGTGGTTGTGCTGCTGATGTCCAGCCAGGATGAGTCCAGGAAAAGACAGAAAAACTCCAAACAATTGTGTCAGGAACAAGATCCTCATGAATAACCGTGCTTCAGCCACAGTCATTATGAACATGTACTTATAAAAACATTGGTTTAAAGAAGAACTAAGGTCTGGAAGTCATTGTTACTATGAATCCTACTAGTCTGGCCAGTGTGTGGTGTTCATAATTAGGCATCTGTCCTCTGGAAGGGTGAAATCATTAGGTCTGTATCCCTGCAAGTAAAATAAAATAAAACAAAATAAAAGCCAATATGGATGAGAGTAGTTATGAAAGTATGGCTGGAAGAACGGAAGGAGGGGAAGGAAAGAAAAAAGGGAAGGAGAAAAACTAGTTTGTGGTGTGGTCAAGGAATGACTAAAGACATTGTTTGAGTGGCAGTTGCAAGAATCTCAGCACTTTTAAGACAAGGAAGGGATAGAAATTTCAAAGATAGATTAAGATATGCCGAAAGACACTGGATCAAAACACCAAAGTTTGGGAATACAGTTTAATGGTAAAGGACTTGCCTAGCATTTTCAAAGTCCTGGTTTAAATTCTCAGTTCCACAAGTTAAAATGATATAAAAGACTGGAGGCATACAGACAGTAAGGAAGGAAGGAAAAAAAAAAGGAGAAATTGATTGGCATTTGTACTTACTTAAATCTTGAAAGTCAGGGCCCGAAGAGATGATGGTACAGCAGTTAAGAATACCACCTGCTGCTCCAGAGGATCCATCACACTCCCATTCCCAGCACCCACATGAAAGCTCACAACTACCTCTAACTCCTGTTCTAGAGGACCTCTCTGGTCTCTATGGGCTTCTGTACACATGTGGTGCAACTACACTCTTGTAGAAATATACACAAACACACAAATGGATAAATCAACCTTAAAAATAAGAGGCGACAAGAGGCAGAAGGCACAAAAATATTAAATTCTTTATAAATGAATTGCATTTGAGTCACCAACAAAATGAATTTGTTTTTCCATTATCTAAATATACATTTTGTTTTCAGATAATCCCAATTACATTTGCCTAATTGGAGTATTAGTGGCCTTTCTTTTCAATTTTAGATGATACATTACTTGGAACCTTACAAAAGAGATTTTTGAAAACTACTCTCATGTCATTTTTAAATGTATTTAATATTAGCTATCAAAATCCTCCATATAACACAAGATTTAATTTTCCCTTTCTTCTGTAACTTCCTCTTCTCATCAGAATTGAAGACAGTGAAAAACACCATTTGTTTTACACACACACACACACACACACACACACACACACACACACACTAATCAGAATATCTATCTGAAACTGAGTGCTGAACAAAGCTTAGCATAAAACATACAAAAACTGAAAACCAAAATAAACAAAAAGAAACTGAAGAATTCTTGTCCATGTCAAATGACTAAGAACTCACAATTTCAAGGAAGACTTGATATGTACTTTAGTACCATGTCTGGAACTGGGATACACATGCACTTTTTTCCCATGGTGGCAATTTCAGTTATTTGACAACCACACCTAACATAATATATGGACTCTTATGGATAAATAAAAACAGAGTTTCAAAACATCATGTACTTGATGGTACATAAATTATATGTTAATTTAAAGTATGAATACATTTGGTAGAAAACAATGTCATTGGGTTTCTTTTCACCATTTTTTTAACCAGGTAATCATTATTTTCTAAGATAATACAGAATAGTAGTAATACCTAAGTAAGGCTTGATTATTAGAGATGTAACACAAAAAGTCATTTGGAATGTTACAAAAGAAAAATACTATTACTCCATAAATCCACTGGATAACTTTAGCTTGTCAAAAAGTGATAATACTAGATTTTGTGGTTAAAATAAATATGAGAAACAAAGAATCATCTATGATTTATCCCGGCTAAAAGGCTAAACTCTTGTCTAATCCAATTTCAAGAAGTAGTTTCTATTTATATTAGGAAAACGATAATAGAGAGGAAATTAAAGATTCTCTAAGAAAAAAAGTACATACATCAAAATATGGTACCTTTTCCTAGATACCTAACTTGTTTCTTTTCAGTAAGTCAATGACTTGAACAGAGACAGCAAAAAGACAGAGGGTGGTACAGATTTAGAGTGCAAGAGTATAGATAGGGCAAATTAATATAACTGGACTTTTATGGCTCCCAGTTAAAATAAGCAAATGGTGTAACTATGGCATCAGAGATAATTTCAGTGAAAGAAATACTTGATACGTTTGTTTGAATAATTTGGTGTTTTACAAAACAACTATGTAGAGATAGCAAAGCCTAGCCTGGCTATTTGAGAATCATCTTCTCTGTTTTGTAGCATTCAGAACAAAAACATAGTTATTACTGTTCTATGTATTGCTGAAGCTGCAAGATCCAAATATGCTTCACTCTGGCCTTTTGAAATCAAGATCCTTTCATTTTATCTGTCTCTGTTTCTTCTCTCTCTCTCTCTCTCTCTCTCTCTCTCTCTCTCTCTCTCTCTCCTCTCTCCTGTCTCTCTCTGTCTCATACACACACACACACACACACACAGAGAGAGAGAGAGAGAGAGAGAGAGAGACAGACAGACAGACAGACAGACAGACACAAAGAAAAAACCCTGATGGATACTTTTTGAATTGTCTCTTTAGTCATTCTCCTCTTCTAAGATATATAGGCTGAGAATTTTGCCAAAGCTCTGATTCTTGCTTACCTTACTAACCCCTTCTTCAATAAATATACCAGTTATATTTACTATAAGCAGTTTGTATGAACCAGAATGTTCCTTTGAAATGTCACTTACAAATGTCATCAGAGACTTATTCAGTCACATTACAGGACACTAGCTTCATCAGGACACAGGACTTCAGCAAGATTTTTGACACTTCATCACAAGAATTGTCTTTCTATTACTTTCCAATCTATTGCTACCAAAATGACATAAAAAGCCCATACCTCTATCAACAACTATGTTCATGGATGCATTTAATCCCCAAGAAAAAAAATGAGGGTTTCTGTCTAAGTACCCCTTTCTCTTTATGATCCATAACCAAACCATAACAGTCACATTTCTAGCTTGTGCCTCAGAAATACCAGTTTCTAACCAGCATTCAACTTCAAATCAATTTCTATACTTGGTTATGAGAGGATGTTGTTTCTTGGTACTAAAATCCAATGGATAACATGGGCATCTCTAACAAAATGTCATAGATTAGGTTACTTAAACTGAAAATTTTACTTTTCATGGTCAGAGAAACTGGAGATTCTAAGGCAAAGGTGCCAGTGCACTTAGGCTCTGGTCCCAGTACTTTTCCTGCTAGAAGAAGCCACCTTGACCTGTATCCTCATATGGTACAGAGCTGCAAAGGAGAATGGAAGTAAGGGAAGGAGGAAGAGAAGGGAACTAGAAGAGAAAATATGGAGGAGAAGGAATGAAAACAAGCTCCTTAGTAGCTCTTCCTAAAGGACAGTAACCATGAGAATCCCTCCAACAAGATCTCTTTTTAAACCTAATTCCTTACCAATGCTCATCACACTGGTCAGTAAGGTATTAACTTATGAGTTCAGAAGGACACAATTCTGCTTCACAACAATAGACTTGCTATTATTGTGACTGGCAAATTTATGGGTTGCAATCTAAAGAACAGCAAATCCCAGTTGCCTATGATAACAGGTTAATGACACTTGGCCCAATACATAAGGACTCTATTTAGAATCCCAAAGACCTGAGTGAAACTTAATAGCACACCGTACCTAATAATAAGCTGCCCGACTTTTCTTTTTTAATCACTCAGAGCAGGATTTTTAGGGCTGTTTCTGTTTATCCACTATATAGATATTTGAACAATTATGTTAGTTAATGTTTTTGCCAAAAATTGTAAGCTTAAGGGGATATGAATATGTGTCTTAATGTAGACACAGCCATCAAATTCACCTTGAAAAATTGAGGGATTGAAGCCTTGAGTGTAGTGTTTTGTGTTGTAATTGCAAGTTCAATTCCTAGAGGTAAAATGTGAAAGAAAATGATGAGGGTAAGGAAGAGTGTGGAAAAACAGGGATAAGGGAAGGATGGGATGGAAAAAGGAAAAGAAGGGAAGATGTGTGGACAACTCATTTTAAAAGTCAGAAGGAGAATGGGTAAAAGTAATGGGAGCTAGTGTAATAGTAGGTGTCACTTGCTTAAAACAATGAGCATCATGTTCACTATGATGGGGGTACCCAATAGATGTTACCAATTTACTATCAAAATATATTCATAACACAAGTGAAACAAATGTAACTGAATTAATGCATTCTTACAGTAAGCTTATTTTGTTCAGAAGAAAAATGTCCCTCTCTCAATCATGAAATTAAGTGTTAAATACATTGTCATATAGGAAGCCACTGTTATGTTTTATATATCTTTAAATATGTCATTATTGTTGACATGTGATATACAACTTGAATATTGTTTGCATATTTATGTTCATGTAAAGAAAGGAGAAAATCAGTTCAGCAGATATGCAAACATTGAGAACTGCTTTATTTTTAGCTATACTGATTGTAAAGTATTGTGATATATGGAATAATGACATGTGCAAAATTAATTTCCTGGAGTTTTCTCTTATAAAATATGCTTAATTAGTATAACAAACTCAATTTTATGGTGAATCAATAATATGGTAAGTGTATATTGCAGAATACGATATCCCAGGCTAATTGTTTATGATCTCCATGCAACAGTGTTTCTTTTTGTTGTTGTTATTGTTGTTTGTTTTGATTTTTAATGCCTTGTGAGAAATGAAAAAGAGTGGGCCATCCCCAGCAAAATGTCTAAGACTAACATGGAATTTTTATTTCCCTTGTAAGTGCTGCCACCACTGCTACCACGATGTGCACAGCAAATAGTAATCTGAACACAAAGCCAAGACCTACACTTATATTTATTTTATTTTGTAGATATTGTGGGTGAAATAATTTTCTTGATTTCTTCCAAATAGTTTGTTGTAGTGAATAGAAAGTTACTGATATTTGTGCATTAACTTTCTATCCTGCAACTAATTAATTCATTATTCATCTTGATCAGTTTCAATATCATGTTATAAAAGTGA